GCTCTCTAGGCCTTCGTGCCTGATGGCGGCTCGGTGGCAGCACAGAGGGAACGGGGAAAGGTCTGCTGGGGACGGGCTTCCCCCGCGCGCAGGGACGAGAAAAGCCCGCGGGGCGGGGGCGAGGCGGGGGCGCCGCAGCGGGGAGGGGGCCGGGCAGCACGACCCCCCCGGGGCACGGGGGGCACGGGGAACGGCGGGGGGCACCGCCGGCAGGGCCGGGCGGTGTGCGGGGCATCGCGGGGCATCGCGGGCACGGCGGGGGCCGGCAGCGCCCCGCCAGAGCCCGGGGAGCCCCGGGAGCATCCCGGCGGGGCGGGGCGGGCGGGGAGCGGCGCGGGGGCCGCGGCGGCCGCTCGGGGCCCGGCGCGGGGCCGACTCACCGGTGTCCTGGCGGAACTGGTGCATGGACTGCAGGTCGATGATGTAGGGCGCCAGGCGGCTGTCGGCCTGGCCCAGCACCACGCTGCCGCCCGCCCGCGGCCCGGCGCGGGCCACCGCCTCGATGTGGTGGCTGACGGCCGGGCTGTAGGGCCGCCAGCGCCCGTGCTCGTTCAGCCATTCCCACACCACCACGGCCGAGGCCAGCAGCATGGCTCCGCCGCCGCGGGCCCGGCTCGCCGCCCCGCCGCAGCCCGCCCCGCCGGCTCTCGCATGCTCGGCGCGGCGCAGGGATCCTCCGCCCGCCCCCGCCCGCGGCCGGGGCCGGAGCCGCGCACGGCCGGGCCGCCCCTGCGCGCACCCGCGGCGCGCTCCCGCCGCCGCTGCCGGACCGCCCCGCCCGCACCGGAGCACCGGCGGCGGCAGGGCAGGGCACGGCACGGGGACCGCCCCGCCCCGGCGGCACCGGGCACCGCGGGGGGAGGCGAGAAACACGTCCCGTGTCTGTCCCTGCACACCCGCCCTGCACGCCTGGGACATCCCCGCTGTCCCTGTACCCCCTGGGTCGCTGCTCCTCCATCCTGCACCTCTGCGACACCCCACTGTCACTGTACCTCCTGGGTCCTGGGACCCCCCACTCTGCACCCCTGCAACTCCCCACTGTCCCTGGACCCCCTGGGTCCTGGGACCCCCCACTCCACACCCCTGCAACACCCCACTGTCCCTGTACCTCCTGGGTCCCTGGTGTCCCCACCCTGCACCTCTGTGACCCCACACTGTCCCTGTATCCCCTGGGTCCCTGGTGTCCCCACCCTGGACCTCTATGACCTCCTACAGTCCCTGTACCCCCTGAGTCCCTGGACCCACACCCCACACCCCTGGGACTTCTCCCAGTGTCCCTGAACCCCCTGTACCCCCACCCTACACACCTGGGACCTCTCCCAGTGGCCCCTGTATCCCCACTGTGCACTCCTGTGCCCCTGTACCCCCACCCTGCACCCCCAGGATGCCCCACTGTACCCCCTTTGCCCCCACCCTGCATCCCTGGCATCCCTCCCAGTATCCCCCACACCTTTAACCGGGACTGCATCCCAGGGAGCCCCTGGTGTGCTCCCACCTTTGGGGTCCCCCATGGCCCCCACCTGCCAGTGATGGGACTTGGGGTGCTGATGGGTTACATGGACCCCACTTCATGTGCTGTGACAGAGAAACGTGGTCCAAGAGCTTCTCCCATTTCCCTGTCTAGGCCACAGAGCTCGCAGGGAGCAGCCCCCTGAGCTCCCCTTTCCTGTTGCCCACGATGCATAAAAATGGCTTCGAAGCCCAAAATTGCCTCATGTCTCAAGGGGCACCTGGGCTGTGACCCCAGGTCCTGCGCCCCAGCTCTCCCAGCTGCCTGCCACAGCTCAGTTCCCCTGAGAAGTACTTTTCCTGGAGATTTCACGCAGCTTCAGCCCAGGGTGAGGCTGCAAATCCTTCAGGATTCTGCTGCTCCAACTGAGGCAAGCAATGAAGGCCAAATTAAAACCTGTGCTGCTCCCACTGTGACAGAGGTACCCCTGTGCTGTGGCAACTCTGGGACTGGAGCAGCCCAAGAAACGTTCCTGAGCTTGTTCTTCCACTGAGCTCCACGAGCATCTTCCCAGGGCAGCCCTGAATGCCAGGGTGTTGGTGACAGGCACGTGCCGGTCTCACCTCCTTTTGTGCTCCTGCGCTCCGAGTCACGAAATTTCCTTGGATATTAAACACCCATCATTCCCTGGTTCGGAAGAACTGTACAAACTGCATCTGTGTGTTCCACGTGCACAGGTTGCACAGCAAATCCCCCGGTCCACGGTCCCCCTCGGCTCGGAGGGCAGCTCATCCCCAGGCCACGGGACACTGCCGAGCTCTCGGGGCTGGTGCGGCTCCTCTCCTGGCAAACCTGTTTCCCAGGCACTGCCCGTCCCGCTGAGCGTCCGCCAGCGGCGCTTGTGGTGAGAAACCATTAGACAAGATCCAAACAGAGGAAAAAAAAATGAAGGAAGAAGTGGGGAAGAAACAGGTGGGGACCAACTGCGGCGGTGCCAGCTGGCGAGCGCTGTGCTGGGGCAGGACGAGGTGAACCGCACGGGTTCTCCTTCTCCCAGCTCATGCAGGGCTACGCTTGGGGCACCTTCTCCTGCAAGAAGGGAGGGCTCCCGGCCCTTCCTGGGAAGGGGAGCCCCTCCTCTGCGTTTTCACCTGTTCCTTCGGGCGAGACAAGCTGAGCCAAAGCCGCGGCGGGGAAACCCGGGGAAATCCTTTCCGCTGACTCAGGCGGGAGGAAAAGGTTTTCCTGCTATTAAAAAGGAAAGTGTTGGTGAACATCCACCCCCCCCTGGCTGCGGCTCAGGATCAGGGAGCCAGGAGCCAGAGCTGCACAACTGAACCCCACCAGCCTCCAGGGCGTGGTGGGCAAGGGGCAAATCCATTCTCGCCTGGCACCGATGCCAGCACCCAAGTGGGTATGCCTGAGGTCAGGGAGCAGCCTCGGTCGGCTTGAAACCTTTCCAACCCCACAAAGTGTGCCCAACCACACGTTAAGCCCAAATATTTATTGTTTTGAAATTAAACACATCCACGGGTTGCTTGTGGTGGCTCCTTCCCTGCTGCAATTTGGGAGCGCAGCCCTCTGCCCCCCTTCCCCCTTCCCACCAGCACTGCAGAACCTTTCTCTCTTCCCAAAGCACAATCTTGGATGGTTTTGGTGGGTCCTCAGTTTGCAGGAGGCCATTGCATGGGGTCCTCAGCAGCATTAGCCACACGGGTACGATTATCTTCCTCTCAAACTCTTCATTTCTGTTTCCAAAATAAACAGCTTCAGTCACCTCCAGCCACCCAGATCAACTTCTTTTCAGCCTGTGGCAAAGCAAGTCCAAAGGGCCTCCTGGCACCGAGGGAGCTCAGCTGTCGGGTGCCCCTGTTCTCGCCAAATCACTTCACTGGTGATTCCCTCGGGGCTGCAGCTGAAAAACAGCATTAAATCCCATCCAGCTCAGACTCTCTGTGGCACGTTGGGGGCTGGCTGGCAGGGAAAGGCCGAGAGCTGGAGCCTCTCGCTCAGCCAGACCATGGAGGTTTGGATTATGGATTGCTTTTTCCCACTGTTTCTGGTGGCCATTCCCGAGCGCTGCGGCTGCTCCACAAACACAGACACACCCAGCACCGCAGGCCAGGTAACAGGGCAGGAGCAAGGAAGGTTGTAAAAGCGGTGTTTCCCAGGATGGGGAAGTCCCTGGAGCAACATCATCGTCCCTGTTGCTGCTTCCGCCCCCAGAGAGCGACTGCAGCGCCGAGCTCAGCTCAGTGCCAGCAGCTGAGGGGGAAGGATCGAGTTGCAAGCCAGGGCTGGGTGATCCCAGCTCTCCCGGGATCTGAAGGTCACCTCGGACCCAGCCATTGCTGCTGAGGGAGAAAAGGGGTCTGTTCCCACCTGCTCGTGTCACAAGGTTCACTCGAGATGCCTCTGCCCACCTCTGGGAAGGTGAGGGGCAGTGGGTGGGGAAGGTGTGAGCACTGCTGAGCAGGAGGGTGCAAGGGGGCAAAAGCAAGATGGCTTCAAGTGCACAAAGCAGAGGACACTGGGCAAGAAAAACACCTGTTGGGAAAGGGACTCGCTTTCACTAACCCTGAAAAAAATAGTGGCCAGAAATTGTTATTCCTGAGTGCAGGGAAGCAGAAACATCCCAATAATCCAGTCTGAGCCGCAAAGCTGAGGGCAGGCAGTCAGTCAGTGGCAGTGAAGAAGGGGCACATTCTTCCTCGTGGGCACCACCCATAAGCAAAGAGGCAGCACCAAACCGCCCTCGGACCCGACCCCGCGGCGCCGGGTGCCCTGATGTTGCCAGAGGGGTGGGCAGGATGGGCTCTGGGGCTCTGCCTTGGTGCTGTACCAGGGCACCGGTGCCAGCACTGTGCCCGGTGCCGTCCCCCCCTGCCCTGACAAAGCCGCTTTGTGCGGGGCCAGCCGGGCACGTCCCCAGCCTCCTCCCCACGCTGTGGCCCTGCTCTCCCCCCGTGTTGCCTTTCCTCTCACAGGCCAGGGGAGAAGGCAGGGCCACACCAGGACAAGGCACAACCCCAGCAATCCCCCCACCTCCTCCTCATCCTCCCACCACCACGTCCTTCATCCCCAGCTCCTTCATCTTCCCCACGGCCTCCCAGTGGGTCCCGTCCCTCCCAGACCTCTCACCCTGCCGGGACTGACCCTTCCCTGGTGTGTGCACAGGGCAGCCCAGGCTCTCCGGTGAGGTTGAGCCCCACTGTCCCACCTCCCCTAAGAAGTACCTCACCCCGGTAGATCTCCCAGCCCTTTTATTCACTCAGCAGCCAGCAGCCCTCACATCCAGTCGGCACGAGAACCACGGCTCAGGCAGCTGTGAAACTGCAGCACTCCACAGGGTGAGCGATGTGGTTGGGGCTGTTTGATTCTCCGTGCCATTTCCAGTCCTAAAATAACCCTTGGAGGCACTAACCTCCTTGCAGAGGGGCTTCTGAATCACAGCCTTCGGTGAAAAGATCCTCTCCGTTACCATGTCCAAGAGGTTAAGAAATCCCCTCCTGATCATACCCCCACTTCCCCCCCTCCCCAAAAAGCCCCCAAGCAGTTAGAGCAGAAATCCAATGAGCAGCCAACACAAGCTAGGCAGAAGAGTTCACGTGCAGGAGGCAAAGCCTTGCTCCTTGCAGCTGTGGGGCAGGTCCCGAGACTCCTTTGGCCAGGTGACACTTTGCTGTCCCTTGGCTCCTGCCTCGCATCCGCAAGAGCCCCCAGGGTGGCCACAGCGAACCAGGCAGTGACCAAATTCCAAAGAAAAGGACCCCAGCTGAGGGTCACGGCCTCCAGGCCCTGGGGTGAGCAGCAAAGCCGCTTCCCAGGGGATAGTTCCTACTGCCAGCCCCAGGACCACTGAGGATTGTCCTGCCTGGGGATCCCCGCTCCCTCCGGGGTACACCACGGCCCGTGCCTCAGCTTCCCCACAGGGAGCGGCACCAAAAGCACGGGGGGCCCAGGGGTTAATGACCCGGTCCCTCCCATCCACCTGCCCTCCTTCGCTGTCAGCTGCCCCCCACTGTGCCCCAGTGGCACCCCAGACCCCCCGCCCTGCGCTCGCCTTCACGGGCTCTCGGCCGGGCTGGGGGCCGAGCCGGCGCCCGGGCCGGGCTTGGCGAGCTGCCGCAGGTCCCGCGCAGACCTCACGGCCCACTGGGCCAGCTCCCGCAGCACCCCCAGGCCCCGCAGCTTCTGCTCGAAGACGCTTTGGGGCTGGGGGGGTGGCCCGTCCCCCTCGTCGGTGGGGGGCCCGCGGCTCTCCAGCCGCAGCAGCTCCTCGAGGTGGTAGGCGAAGGCCGAGACCTGGAGCAGCACGGCCGCCAGCGCCCGGCCCAGGGCGGCGTCGGCCTCACCCAGCTGCTCCCGCTGCTCCTCCAGCATCTGCGCCAGCAGCCCGCGGAAGGCCCTGTACGCCGCCAGGTTCTCCAGCAGCCGCTGGGTCCCCGTCTGCTCGTCCCAGCGCTCCACCGCCGCCGGCGGCACCCCCTCCACCGCCGCCACGCTGGCCGAGGCGTCCAGGCCCTGCTGCTCCACCTGCGGGGCGAGACCCACCGGGGATCAGCGGTGGCGGGAGCAATTTGGGGGGTACCCCCCGCCCCGAGCCACGCCGGCGCTGCTCCGGGGGGCCCAGTCCAGGAGGGGTTTGTGGCAGCGCAAGGCCGGGTGCCCGAGGTCCGCCCAGGCATCGGCAGGCACAGAAACCGGCAGCGCTTCATCCCCCATCCCTGCCACAGGACAGGTTCCTCGCGCCCCACAGCTGCCAGGAGCCCCCCGGACCCCACCAGCGCTCCCAGCCCCACAGCAGCCAGAAGGAGCAGGGCAGACTCACGTAGGCGTCCAGGAGGTCGACGACGTCCGAGCGCATCTTCCCGGCCAGGCGGATGCCGCGGGCACACAGGTCACGGCGCCGGAGGGCGGCCGAGGGACTGTCTGCTCCCGCCATGGTCCGGGCAGCTGTTGCGGCCACCAGGCTCAGGGCGCAGCGCCCGCCCGGCCCGGGCAGGACAATCCCTTGCTGAGCTGGTGCATTCCAGCCGGGAGCTCCGCTCACACGTCCGCTGGCCCGGCTCTCCCCCTCTTCCGTGCCTGGGGCCTGGCACCACGCTGCAAATTCCCGCCTCTGGGATCAACAGCGACAGATTATTCCCCCGATTCCCCCACGCATCGCCACTCCAAGTGCTTTGCCCAGAACCGTCTCGCCCGGCAGCAACAGGCTCCCAGCCCCGGCTGACCCACTCCTCCCTCCCGGCCACACAGTGGGATTAGCGGCACGTTAATCCCTCTGGCTCATGCCAGAGAGCGGGAAACCACTGCCGGGAAGAGACGAGCAAAGCCCGGACATTGCTCAACACCTCAGCCCAGGCAGGCAGCGGGGGCTGAGCAGGGCCAGGAGTGGAGGCTCGAGGGGACCCCCCCCAAAGCTGGAGATCCAGCACCAGCCAAAAGCTGAGCTGCAACCCAAACCCTGGCAGAAGGGTCTGTCCCAGCCACCTCCAGCCCTCTTACTGCCCCACAGCCATGGGACTGATCCCCCAGGTTTAACCCCCCTTTCCCAAAGGGGGAAAGATTTAACCCCCCTTTCCCAGAGACACCTTCCCCAAAGAGGGGTTGAGGGACAGGACGTGGTCTCTCCTCATGCCCCCAGAATGCAGGACTCAGTCACTGCTTCTCAGCCCTAAATGTGGCCACGTAAGGCCAGCAGGACTCAGTCTCCATTTCTCACCTTCAGTACTGGTCATCCACAGGACTCGGTCTCTGCCTTAAAGCCCCCAAAGTGCAGGACTTGGTCTCTCTCTGTGGGCCCAAGCACTGGCTGAGTGACCCTCGTTTCAGGGCTCTAAAACACAGGACTTAGTCACTGGTTTTTGAGGCCTTAAAATGCGTCACTTGGTCTCTCTTTGTGAGCCCAAAGACACGAGACACGCTCTCTGCCTCAAGCCCTGAAAGCAGGATTTAATGGCTGTTTCTAAGCAAGACTGCAAAATGAAGCATTTAGTCTCCGTTTTTAAGCTCTGAGCCCCATTTTGAGCCCCCCAAACATGGCCCTGAGTCTCTCTTTGGGAGCCCAAAAAATAAGTCTGGTTCTGAGCCCCTAAAACTGGCCCAGGGTCATGATTCAAACCCAGTTGGCAGCTGGCCACCAGCAGCCACTCACTCACCCCCCCAAGTTGGATGGGGTAGAGCTGCCCCAGGACAACACCAGCCAGCCCACAGATGAGCTGCATGCACCAAGACAAAAACAGCCCACTGGGTTGGGTTGGTTTTTCCTCAGTATGTTTATTTTGGTTACGTATTACCCAGATTAAGAGGGGAAAAAAAACCCCAGGAGTTGAAAAGCAGCTTCCCACAAGTACCACAGTGTGCCTGGTCGGGGGGCCCCATACCCCCAGCAGCCTCTTTGTCACCCCCTGGCTACTGCAGAAAGTGCTGCTGAGCTTTGGGAGCCCCTGGCCCCGGCAGCCCTTGACCCCCAAAGTGCTGCCCATGTCGGGCACAGCCCCGAGAGTGGTCGAAGGGCCCTGTGTCCCCTCCAACCCCTTCCCCGGGAGGAGAAAAAAAAAATAAATACAGGGGAAAAAAAAAATACAAAAAAGTTTATTGCAAACTACTACAATAATTTATTGAAGCAAACTGCATGCGAGTGAAGGAGAGACATCGAGGGGAGGAGGAGCTGCAGGAGGGCTGTGTCAGTTTTAGGGCTTCAAAGGGGCGTGGGAAGGGAGCTACACATCTCTCCTGCGTCAGGGGCGAGCAGGCTGTGGTTAGAGGACAGACAGACACCTGGCCAGGGCCAGAAAAAGAAAAGGGAGAGCTACGAGAGGTGTCATGGAAGGACGAGGCGGGGAGCGGCAGGATCAGGTGTCCCGGCCGGGAAGCAAAGGAGATGTTTGATTTTGCATCCCAGAAACGCGTCCGGTGGCAAAGTCTGCTCCGCTCGGGGCGGCTGCAGGACCAGGCCACCTCCCTCAGCTCCCAGCCAGGTGCCAAGCACTGAGTCAGAGGCAAGCAAGCCTTTGACCCAAAGGCATTTTAGTGCCATCCCTTGACCAGTAATCCCCGGGCTCTCCAACTTAGTGTTCTGTGCAAGGCTCTGCCCGCCCCGCACCTCCCACGGGCACAGGGGCTGGCAGAGAAGCAGCTCCAGCTGGAAATCACAGTAACGTGATCCAGGCGAGAAACTGGATCATCCCAACTGAAGGAACTGGTTTAGTTCAAACACCACTGCACCGCCGACCTGCCTGCACTGTCCCAGAGGACCCACCACCAGGTGTGCTGGGCCCTCAGCCCGTGGCAGGCCTGGGAGCCAGGCTGCTGCCACGGTGAGCACGTGGGATGCCCACGCCCAGGGCACAGGGCACCCAGCTGCTCCGCCACGATCCGCCCCGACGCCAGAAGTGTTTCGACTTGCTCTGACAAAGGTATCCGTGTAAGGAGGGAAGGGAGGGGGCAAACCGGGACAAACGGCCCAACAAAAGCCACCGTGTTTGGGCCACAGCTGGATTTCCAGGCAGCACAGGGGACAGAGTGGGTGTTCAGAGTCAGTTTCCTGTTAAGTTTCCGATTAAATTCCACGTTTTATTGCGGTTTCCTAGACCCCAGGTACCCGGTTTTGCCAAGCTGCTGTGTGCTACAGACTAACTCAGCTGATCTTGTGCTCGGACGAGACACTTCAGCTCTGCTCCCAACCACAGAAACCCAACCAAAAAAAAAAAAACAAGCAAACAAACAAAAAGCCAGGTTATTCTTCACCTCTTCCAAAACCACTACGAATTCAAGGCCACTGAATCTCCACACAAAGTCTCAGAGAAGAGCAAAAAAAAAAAAATCCAAGTCTCCATAGCAGACACCTCTTATCCTATGTAAACTTTTCCAAGGGCTCAGAGCTGCCCTAACTACACCGGCAGGCAACACCTGGCCTGCCACATTTCAGGGACAGCAGGGGTGTCTGTGCAGAAGAGAGAACCTTTGAGAACACAGCTACACAACACCCTCCCCCACAATGGGGGCAGGGAGAGAAGCTGACAGCCCCTTAGTCCCACGTCAATCTATTGCCTTGGATAAACAAGCCTGAGAAAACCATATCCAGTCCCTGCTCCTGTGCCTTTGTCTAGACCTGGAAAGGAGAGGCAGAGTCGGATGAGGAGCACCACATCCCCCCAGCAGCAAGCAGCTCACGACTGTCCCAGGCCACGAGAACAAGTTCCTGGCCAACAACATCCTTCCCCGAAAGGCCGCAGAGCATTTAATGCAAGGAGCTCACCCGGAGCCGGGAGGGAGGGAGACGACAGCCAGCTGTTCCATCACTCACCTCATCCTCCTGCTAACACGCTGCTGCAGAGACTCCCACTGCACACAGGGCTCTTCTCCAGGGGCTCTCCCTCCTCTACTCTGGAAAAGCTGCGAGACACATCTGACTCCAGAGCGCTGCCCAGCCGCTCTCCCAGCCGCTGTTACGATGGCACACCGTGCTCCCTGCACCGGAGCCTACTGGGAAACAGCCTTGAACCCCTTCCACGCCCGCCCCCTAAGAACAGAACTAAAAAATACCGACCCTTTTTTAATCAATAAATAAGGAATCTTGTTACCACAACACAAAAACGAAGCATGTTCAAAGTGCAAATTACTGTCGTCAAACTGGGATGCTCCTCCTTGCCTCTCCCACGCAGGGCTCCTGTAGCCCCCGGGCCTCTCCGAGCAAACATGATCTACGAGCCAGGGCGTTCCCTCCACTTCCTGCCAGGGCTGGAGCAGGGGAGCGCGGCGGGTGGGAGCGGGACGTGCTCTGCTTCACAGCTCACCCTGCCGAGGGGCTAAAGTGCCAAACTCCCAGCCCCGGGAGGAAGGAGGACACTGCAAGGACCAGAGTGCAGCGGTGCATAGAAGTCGGGACCAGGGGCAGAGGGAGTCCTAAGAAACTTCTCCAGAGCACGTCCAACGCTTTTTTTTTTTTTTTTTTTTTTTTTTTTTTGCCAGTGGGGCCACGTCAAGGAGCCAGAAAGGCATCTATCTGCTTTGGGGTTAGAGCGAAGGGTTTCGGCAGTGCCCCCTCCCTTGGAGAAATCCGTCGCTCAGTCCAACTTGCTCTGGTAATGGCAGCACGTGCCCCTTTCCACAAAGGGGCCGTGGGAGAGAGAGAAGTGGTTGGGAGAAAGAGGATGTGCTGTGATCCGCGCTGGAGGGGAGCAGACCCTTCAGTTATTTACTAGTATTGTAAGTTTTGTTTAACTTTCCTCTCTTTCAGTAAGTGCCTCCTCTTTTTTTTTTCTTTTTTTTTTTCTCCTTTTAAATACAGAGTCCCAACTGTCCCAGCACCCAGGTGCTCCCCCTGCCACTAGGGTCCACCAGTGGAGTCTGAATCTTCGATGAGCACCTCCGTGCTGGCTCCCAGGATCTCCGTGTTCATGACCAGCCCCTCCGGGTTCGCGCTGCTGCCGCTGCCCACGAAGAGTTTGCCATCGGCCACCAGGCTCACGCGCTCCGCCCCGCCACAGTAGGGCTTTGGCATCCCCTCGGGGCTCAGCAGCAGGCAATCTGCTGGGGGGGCACTGCCCAGGGGGTCCGGGAGCAGCGGGAGGCCCTGGCCGTCGGTGGGCGGCGCGATGGCCTCGGGATTGGTGCCCAGGATGTCGGTGCTGGTGATCAGGGCACCCGCGTTGGCAGCCAGCGCTTCGGCTATGAGCACTTCGGGGTGGCTCTTGGCTTTGTGGGCCACGACGCTGTCCTTCTTCTCGAACTTCTTGCCGCAAATATTGCAGGAGAACTGGTAGAAGGAGTCCGCGTCGTGCTTCTTCATGTGCCAGTTGAGGGACGCCTTCTGCCGGCAGGTGAACCCGCAGATCTCACACCTGGGAGCGGAGAAGGGGGAGGTCACAACAAAGGGACGTCCCCACACACTCTGGGGACAGCAGCAGCAAGGAGGCAGCCCAGGGAAACAAGCAGGGGCTCACTAATGTCACTGCAGCTCCAGCTAGGGCTTTATTTGCTGAGGGCTTACGATCCCAGCTCTGCCCCGAGGAGCAGGTGAGACAAGGGGCAGCTCAACACCGTGTGCGTTTAGAGAGCTGGGACACCAGCAACAGGCTCCAGCCCTGACTTCAGAGCTGCCCCTGCTCTGGGTGCAGCCCCAGAACGGGTGTGTCGGGGGTCCCTCGGGGCAGGAGGGCGAGGCACAGGCAGAGGGTACTCACTGCAAGGGCTTCTCTCCCGTGTGGATCATCCTGTGCACCGCCAGGTTGTGGGAGCTCTTGAACGCCCGGGCGCAGTACTCGCAGATGTAATCCCTTTGATCTGAAAGGCAACAGCAGCTGCAGCACTGCTCTCCCACAGACCTGCTCCCTTTCCCAGCTCCCATGTGGTGCAGGTAAAGCTGCCTGAGAAGGAGCAGAACTAGGAGTTCTGGGAGGCCAGCAGGCACAGCCAAGGAGAAGCCCCACAAGGCAGCGCAGCAGCTGATCTGGAGAGGCCAGCCATGATTAAGACTCTTCTGAGAGCTACTTATCCACTCTGACCAACACTGAAGGACTGGCAAATTAGGATAAAGCAGACTTTATCTGTAGAGTCTTTATATGCAGATGTTTATTCCTCTACAGAACCCCTGAGTGATACTTGCCAGGAGGAGAATTAAAAGCCTCTATAGTCTTATTTCTTTCACTTCCTCAAAAGATGATAATCCAGAAGACAGTAATACCCTGCTGCTCCTGCAAATCTATGCCACCTGACTTGGCTTCACTCTCCCCAGAAATCCTAGAGGCTTTTCCTTTTTCCCCCCTCTCTGTTCACTGACCTGAGGAAGTGTTTTGTACCCATCTCCCACCGCCCTGTACCTGTGTGATGTTTGGCATGTCGCAGGAGCTGCTTCTGGAGCCGGAAGAGCCGACCACAGGAGGGGTGAGGACACACATATTTCTTCTTCAGCAAGTGCTGGTACTTTATGTGATGCTGAAAAGGAAGAGTGAAAGTTTGCAGAGTCCCTGAGAGAAGAGCCGAGACACAGCCATCCCAGACGGCCCCTCAGCAAAAGCAGACACAGCGTCAAGGAGGAGTGTCAGTGCAGTGGGGGCTTCACTGCCTGTTCCCAACAGCCCTTCCCTGCCCTCACATGTGCCATTCAGGACGGGAAAAGCTCCACCAACCTGCAGGTACCGGGGGTGAGCCAGGACCGTGCCACATCCTTCCATCTCACAGCGCACGTACTGGATCGGGGGCTTCTTCCTGGGAAGTCGGCAAGGAAAGGGGCAGAGTGGTTGGCTGCTTCTGTGACTGAGTGATTCTACAGATAAAGACTCTCTACATATTCGATACACAGAATCACATGAACTCCAGAATTCTGTTTCTGTGAGGGGCAGAGATTGGCTGATGCCCCTGATGCCACGGCAGCAGCACAACAAAGCACAGCTCAGTGAAATGAGAGCCAAGAATTACTGCTCCAGTACTGTCAGGGCTGTGACAGAGCCTCTGCCCAAGTGCCACCTCCACTCCTGCCACTTACTTGAGGG